TTAAAAATTTATAATTGGCTGACTTTTTAACTTAATTGTATCCATAACTGTATATTATAATATTTGTATATTCACATAACAAGAACATTAAATTACTTCGGTTAAGATAAATTTATATTAAATTTGAATTTCTTTAATGAAATAATGTTACAAAGAAAAATAAGATTAATATAAGATAAAAAAACAATTAAACATAGAAAAAGTAAAAAAATGTTTGGTAGTATACAAATAAAAATTTCAATGTTTAGTGAATATTAAGAAATTTGATATAAAATACAAAAATTAAAATTTCATTTATAAAAATATTAATAGAATAACTGTCCAGCAATAATTTCATTTTTGTGTCTTAATCTTATAAAAGGCATGAGATTTGCATTTATTGGTGTTGTATCTCCTCGAGACATTTTTTCTGCCAGCTCAACAGTAAAAGGCCCACAATCATGTCCATTGGTTTGCCGAGATGTCTCGCCTATTTGTAATGTCCATGTAGAAGCTTTTCCTTTTCTGTCCATCTCCCATTCAATTAAGAAATTTTTTAATACCATTGGATAAGGACCCTTATACGACTTAAAACTATCATAGGATGTCACAGTTTTTTCAAGCACATTAACCACTGTCAATATCCAATGACTCCCATATACATTCATCGGCACAAAAAGTAAATTTATTGTGTGAATATCTTTTTTTATCCATCTTCTTACAGCTGGATAACCTCCTCGAAGATACGCTATTATAAAATCAGTGACAACTGCATAAACTTCACCTTTTGACCGTGTTACTATCATTTTAATGTACTCATTAATTGTGTCTGAGGTATACCAAGATGTAGGCGACTTAAATGAAGGTGCATTATACTGATCAAGAGATTTTGTGTTCAGATCTTGCATTTCATCTGCAAGTGTAACCATATTTAAACATTTTTCATAAAATTAATAAAAAACTTTGTTGAACAGTTTACTATTATTTAGGTTTATTTAAGATTTTAGAATATGAAATTAAACACAAAACGTCCATGGACCCCTTTAATAACACGCCTCTGCAGATGTTATATTAATTTAACCAGTGTTGAGAAGGAACTGGTTCCAAAAGGAACGGATTCCTGGAACGAGTTCTTTTTGAAGGAACGATGCTAGGAACTGCTTCCTTTTAAAATAAAGGAACGAGGAAAATGAACAAATTCCATTTTTTAAGGAACGTGAACGGAAATTACAGTTCCTAAAAATTTTTATAAACATGTTTTAGTGTAGTTTTCTTTGTATCTAGACATTAAAATATTAAGGTATTTTTAGTTGAGTTTTGACAATGGAAGTCCCCTATATACCCAGCCGAGAGCGTAGACTGTTTAAATGAATCAATTGACTATAAATAGAGTTATTATCACATGTAGGTATACAGTAAATATTTAATATATGTGTACATATATTAAATAATGCAC